ATCTTTCCAGGAATTATATAGAAAGACCAAAACTAGCTGCAGAGAAATATGTCAATTAGTACAACAAGAATATAAAAACTAGATGCAGACAAATGAACATGTGCCACAGTATAACATTAGATGAATATATTTTTTGAGGACCATATCAAAAAATCAGTGATAACATGATGCATTTTGTGGATAAAAAATACCAGGAGTAAAATTTATCCAAGGAAATATGTCCAAATTTTTGCACAGAAAATGTATATTCACAAATTAAATTTGAGTCATGCACAGCTGTCTTTTTGAATTTTTTAAATATGGCCTGTGCAGCAATGAATGGCAGAAGTTTGTGGATTGAATGAACTAACTGATATTAAATTATGGACCATTAAATTAACGATTGTATTATTTAAAAATTCACAGGTGCCTGGGAAAGGGGGATGTCAGTTTGTCCAACCATTGTTTGAATTTTCCTTTGGACCCCAGATATAAGGCTCCAGTTTTGGTGACCAAGGTGAGTTTGGTTTTTAGGCTGTAATTTTTAGAGGCCACTGCTGGAAGGGGTGAGAGGCACAAGTCATAGCCCAGTCCCAGTGTCTTACAACAATTTTGTTTACTGGGACTCAGGTACATGTAGGACTTCAGTTTAGTTCTGAATTTCAAAGACAGTTAAAATTAGTCAAAAAGGAACACATGAAATTAAGTGATCATCTCTACATTTTGAACTTTTATTCACAACAATATTTCAGTTATTCTGATGTTTTCCAGTTTTTATGCAGAATTTTTGAAATCAAGTGCATCCCAACCTAACTTTTGAAACTAAGCCGTTCACAAAACATTGGTGAACTCAAATGTCAAGGGCAAATGAGTGAACTACCAAGGGGTTTCCTAATTTTCAGCCATTCACACTTAATATTAAACACATGGGTATGAGTTCAATTTGGAAGAGGTGAGGTCCGTATACCAAGATGCATATGATTATCCATGGGGTTTTGAACAAGTATTTTTTGAAAAAGGGGTTGTTTGGTGAAGGGATGCCCAAAAGAATAAAAAACTGACACCATCATAGGGGTGGGCCAAAGGGGGGAGGGGAGAGGTCAAAAAAGGAAGGACCTGCACAGGATTCATTAGAGATAACAATGCCCCCTGCTTAGGTAACACTCACAATTTTGAGGCCATATGTGAGTTGTGT